CCCCAAAACCCCAAAACCCCAAAACCCCAAAACCCCTTTGCCAGCCACATTTTTGAATTTAAATATTTAAACTCCAGTATGTCTCAAACAAAGAATTTCTTACACTTAAGAAATAAGCTTAATTGTCTCCACTATTCTGACCCTCTATCGAAGGAAAGTTGTGCTTTAGTAGGGAAATTACTGGCTGAGATAGCAAAAATGACTGAGAACTTCCAGAAAGAAAAAACCAGAGCTGACACTCTTGAAAACACAGTCAGACAGGAGCAGATTGCTCTCCTCCCTCTCCAGAAGGAGAACGCAAGAGTTGTCAGAGAGAATAATTCTCTTCACAAAGAGATTATCACTGTGAAGGAGAATCTCGCTCAGAATGATAATAGTTGGCAGAAGCAGTTCAGACAACTTGAGTCTGAATATAATGACATCAAGAACGCACTGAAAATGAAGGACTTTGAACTTAAGAATCTTAGGAATAGAAACAGAAAATTAGAAGAAAAATTAGGCGGAATAGTCAAGCAAAATACAATGACAAATGGTTGGCAAGTTGCCCCATCTTACTCACAACAAGAGAATGAAGAAGAGCCAAGTAAGAGAATTTGAGCTTATGAGTTTATGATATAGCATCGCGCCCTAAAATGGAAATGACTTACATGCTCGAAAAACAGACAAGTAGGGAGTTAGAAAGCGCTGAAGAGGAAAATCTTTTTAATCAAGTTTGTGAAGCAGACACTCGTCTTCAGGTATTTATATTTTAACCCATAGATCACACATAATGAATTAAACGCTTACCGTCAGCTTAAGGAAGAAACTGACTTAAAGTTCAAACAACTTGAATCCATGATTCATGAAAGAGATAAAGAAATCTCTCGACTGAATAACCTCTACACTGGTACTGAAACCACCGTACAAGCAGCTTTCCATGAAAAAGACAATCAGCAAACTATTGCAAAGCTTAATAGTCAACTTGACTTTATCAACAAAGAAAACAACAGACTTCAATCAATCATTGAAGGCCTGAAAACAAGGAAGAAGTCTGCACCTGGTCTTTATAAAGAGAATAGAAAAGCTGGCTCCAAACTTGAGAAGCTTCAAAAGGGTAAATTTATTTCGAGAGCTTTAGATAATGAGCAATTAAGAAGACAAAACGAGGCTTGTGAGAACCAAATCTCTCAACTTCAACAAAAAGAAACAAGTCTTACTAAAGGCATTCTTCTCAATTATGTTGATAAAAACAAATATCTTGGTATGAATACCATTCCTTAATTTTTAGCTGCTCTGCAAACAATTTCTTTACACGAACAGCAATGAGCGAAGTTGAAAACTCTGATCACTGCTCTCGAAAACCAGCAGAAACTTCAAACTCTCAGCACACTCAAGAAGTCTTTTGATCTAGCTTAAATTTGAGTTCAATTCAATTAAAAATTTAAGAAGTGGGGTTTTGGGGTTTTGGGGTTTTGGGGTTTTGGGG